CTGCTACTACTAATAATAATAATAATGATAATAATAATAGTAATAATAACAACAATAACAATAATGCTGAAAATAACAAGGGGAAATAATAACCGAAACAAACACAACAATACTAACAACATTGATAACCCTCCTAAAGCTATTAATCATCATCCTTTTTGATACTAGTAATAATACCAACAATAAAAGCAAAAAGATTGCTACTCACAGTAATAGCAATAATGATACTAGTATTGATGACAAAAGGCAGGGCTTCTGATTCAGGTCCCTGCACAATTCTGCTCGACATCCTGAATCCCCAAACCCGGAAATCGAGAGACCGAGAGACCCAAAACCTCCACCCTAAAACCCGAACCCTCAAACCCTAAACTCCCAAGCCTCATTCGGCTTTCTATAAATCCTCAACCCTAAACCCTAAACCCTCACCGTGGGGAAGGCCTCGTGCCTAAATGCACAGAGGACACGACACCGGACCCTTAGGGCTATTTTAGCGTTTAGGGTTCAAAGTTCAGGGTCTTGGGTTTAGGGTTCAGGGTTCAAGTTAAGGGTTTAGGGTTTAGGGTTTGGGGTTCAGGGTTCAGGGTGGTTTGGAGGTTTTAGAGCCTTGGGGTTTCGTTACTTGGGGTTTAGGTTGCTTGGGTTCTTGTTAAGGAACTCACAGTACGGTACTGAGAAACCACGTTATTCACGATCGATTTGTGTAATGGTTACGTAACATGAACTCCTCAACTTTTTACCCTTTTTACCCCCTGAACATCCCTAAGCCTTTAGCCTAAACCGTTTCCCTGGCCACTATAAGTTAAGCTCCTTAACTTTAGGGCTTCGATTTGTGTTTCGGGTCACAGGTCTTCTAGCCGCCGGGAGGCAACAGTCGGCAGAAGCAAGACCCCAGTCATCTGCAACATCAGATTCCTTCAGGCTTTGAGGATTGTAACTGTAGGGTTCAGGGTGTAGGGTTATGTCATGTAGGCATATAGGACGTTCACAGAAACCGATGAAGTCGGGTTTGGGGGTGGTACTTGTTTTCATTTCGGTAACGAGCACAGTGAGTACAACAAGGAGCTTTAAGGAGCAGCAGTACCATGTCATGCATGCCACTGCAGTGTGCGGACAGTTTCTGGTCCGAAGATACCGTGTCTGTGACTACTTTGGTTCTTAAACTAAGTTTCATGTGCTTTGCTTTTTGGGTGGGATGAGAGTTGGGTTTAGGATACGTGGGCTTAGGTTGCCTAGAAGCACAGTCACACAATAGTTGCTTGCTGCACTCGGGTCATATGGAATATCATCTTTACTACGGAAGTCTCCGAAATTAACATGCCACAGGTTACGCACTCAGCGATATTCCGAAGGAGCTCTATATCCATCCACCAAAACCCTTTTGCAAGTCCTGCTGTCATGTGGGGACAGCAACCTACCCAAAACTCTAAACCCTAAACCCTATGGGCTTCTCGGGCAACTTCAGGCATGGGAAGAGCAAGCAGCTCTCCTCTCGCCGACCCCTCGTCAGGAAGAGCGCTAGCTGCCCTAGCCTTGAAGCCCTGCAATCATAAGCCCTACCCCCTAAACCCTCAACCCTAAACCCCTAAACCCCTGAACCCTAAACCCTTTATGGCTCAAGGAAGACTTTTCGGGGTTTGGGACCAAGGTGCAGTGCAACCTGCCACTGCGCCGCCCGCGCGCAGGAGCTGATCGTCGAGTTGAAACTGATCACCTCCGTTTGCGGCTTTAGGGTTTAGGGTTTAGGGCTTAAAGCTTAGGGTTTAGGGCTTAGGGCTTGACATGCAGGGGTTTCGGTGTTGAGGGTTGCAAGCTTAATTAAGGGATGAAGGCTTGGGATTCCAGCAGGCTCTTTCTTCTAGACATGGCTTGCCTCGCAGCTGCACAGCATCGGGATGCAAGTAGAACCAGGATAACTAACCACCCGCCGGTGTCTACCGGAGGATCAGAATCCTGCGATGAGAGAAGGCAACTTGCTCACAGCCCTGGCCCCATTCCTTTCTGAAACTCACACGAACATTTCAGGAACACGGTCCGGCAGGCATCCGCGACCCACGATGAAAAAAGCAGGCAACCAACTCAGAGACAAGCTGCTCTCTGTCCTTCTGCCGCGGCCCGAGTGTGGGAACAAATGTACTGTTTAGGTTCGAGTCAGGGTCAGACCTCATAACTCCCCAAAATCCAGTAAGGACCTTGCAGCATCCCGCAAAACACTTTATTCAAATTCCTCTTTGCAGCCTGGGTCACCAAGCTCCTAGAGCTTGTGGACTCTTCAAATGCACAAAACTATAGTGGACCCTAAGGCATGCTATTGCAAGTTGTTTCGCCCATATCATAGCCCCGAACACCCCAAACCCTACCACGACCGGCCCTTAACATAAGGATGTTAAGTTAGGCCATAATAGTAATAGAGGGTAGGCAAAGAAGGTAGTTGGAGGAATTTGGAGGGTTCTACATGAAAGTTGATGGGCAGTCGTAAGTAGGGTAGTTACAGGCTGCATAACTACAGTTCTAAACCCCAAAAGGATTTAGCCATGAACCTCCAAGTAGAGGGTGGTTATAGAGGGTAGTTACTTAAACCGCTAAGTAAACCCTAAACCCCCCAAGCCTCGCAGGAGATGTTGGCAGCGCATGCATCCACAAGCAGCTTCGCAGCTGCCTGTGGCGGGCAACCGTGTAGCCCTACCCCTAAATCCGAACCCTGGTTCGCAGTTTAGAGTTTAAGGCTTCGGGGTTTTGTGAGTATGGCAGTCTTAGGACTAGTTTATGTAGGGTTTAGGGTTCAGGGTTTAGGGAGAGAGTCGCCCACCCGCATAGAACTAAATCACGCGATGAGACGAAGGTTCTGCTTGGGGCGGCACAGTCCGATAGCCTGCCTTTGACGCCAAAGCCATGCAATGCCACAATCTCTAAACCCTAAACCCCTAAACCCTAAACCCTAGACCCTGAATCCCGAAACCCCTAAACCCTAAAACCCTAAACCCTAGACCGTTGCGTCTTGGCCAACACCGATCCCTAATCCTGAGCCCTATGCTCGACACGTACAAGGCTGCGGCTGGGGCTATGTTTATAGAATTCAAGTATAGGGACCAGCATCATCTATATATATATATATCTATATATATATATATATCTATTTATATATGTATATATATATATATATCTATTTATATATATATATATATGTATATATACAGACACACATAGCTAGTATGTGTAGACTCTTCTAACTAATGAACAATGGCGGTCCTACCTGCGTGCCCCCCCTGGAATTGGGACGGGGTGTGTAAGACGGAGGAGTGGGAAGACTTGAAATGCTTACCATATGCAATGGTAGGGTTGAGGGCTTAGGATGGAGGCTTTAAGGGTATACAGGGATTAGGGTTTAGGGTACTGTTCAAAGTTTAATGTACCCAGAGTGCCCAAAATCCCTTAATTAAGGAATATAGCTTAAATCATAATATGAAGCCCCTGATAATTTAAGATATATTCCTTAATTAAGGGGTATTGGGCTCTCTGGGTAGGTTCTGAGTATGAAAATAGCACTAAGTCTTCAGGCTTCTATATGAAGATGGCTCACTCATGGCTGACACCTCGGGCTCTTTGCCTTTAGAGAACACCAATTCGCAGCGCCGTCATCAGGAGGCATCCATCATTACTTAAAGGATCATGGGACTTAGTAAGTAGGGTTATAACCCCAATTAGGGGACTTAGAACCTTACTTACTAAGTCCCATGATCCTCCAAGTAAGGTGTTCTCGAAATAAGGAAGTCAGGTTCCAGACTTCATGGAAGGGCTCTATTATCTTCTGACACACCGAAAGCCAATTTAGAATACAAAGGCTCGTTTCTTTTCGGGATCCCTGATAGGCAACTCCGGATGCTGCTTGCATCTGCTTGCGCTGTGGCTTTCGGCTTAGGGCTCGGAGCCCAAAAAACAAACTGTATAAGCCCTAAACCCCTCAACCTTTCACGGCACTTCTTTCTGGAAGCATTTAAATGCACCTAATTAATGTAGGGGCTTGAATAGTTAAAATAAGGGGGGCCCTGTACGCTATACTTATAATAAGGCCCCCCCCCCCCCTACCACAAAAAAAAAAGTATTGGTAATCCCGAAACCCCAAACCCTAAACCCTGAACCCTAAACCCTAAACCCTGAGCCGTAAACTGTAAATATCCGTAGTAGTTCCTTTTTGGGATTACCATATAAAATTCTATATATATATATATATACATATATACAAACCTAGGCCCCTGGCCATCTGCCGCAAAGTGCGAAGCGATCGCGGCCTGCCAGTGCGCGGCTCTGGCGCGACTGCGAACCGCCGCATCCTTCCAAGGGCTCGTTTTTAAGGGTTTAGGGTTTAGGGGTTTATGGGTTTAGGGGTTTAGGGATTTGGGGGTTTTAGGGGTTTAGGGTTTAGGGGTTTAGGGAGGTTTCTATGTGGGTTTCTTTGAAGGCTCCTCTTAAGTCTTCCTTTTGGGGCTGCGGGTTTGGCGTGCAAGGCTGAAAATCGATTTCCGACGGCTCAAAGGAACTCAAAGAGGCCGGAGCGATGGCCTCTGAACTTCCTTTGGGAGCACGAGAGCCTTAGGGTAACTACTGTTGATGATATAAATCC